TTTTTTTTTTCCTGGAGTTTGTTCTTGTCAGTCAAGTTATCAGACGTGGTTGCAGATAGAGATGCTTCTGAAACTTGAAATCTCCAGGGTATTGCAGTTTTCCATGGGTGGGATATGGCTTTTACAAATGTGATCCAGAAAGGGAAAACAGACCTTGTAAAACCAGAAATGGAGAACACAAGCTGCTGCTGTATAGGTTTGTATGGTATTTTTTTACTGTTTTTTTCTGGAGTAACAGAGGTGCCCAGCAGGGGCCACTGGTGACTGATCAGGGAGGGAAATGTGCCTTTTCTGCTGTAGGATAAAGTTAAACACAGAAAACTTTTAGGTGTTTAGAAATACAGGAAATATTTTGGAGCAGTGAAAGAAAAAAGTGGCAGGGGCAAGAGGGTGCAATGAAATCTGCAGATTTTTTGACGAGATTGCTGCATGAATATCCTTTGGGATGACTTGGGAGGCTGTACCTTGTGGGCACAGTAGAGGCAGAGAAGGTGTTGGTTTATCTGCTTGATCCAAACTGGAAACGGTGCTGGAGGTGAGGCCTCAGTTAATTTATGATTTAGCCTGATGTGATCAGTGAGGTCAAAGGTCCCAGCCTGAAATAAGAAGGACAAAGAAAAATGACATCAGGGAATGGGGTGACCAGAGCCAGAGATAGAGATCTTCTAATCCTCTCCCTCTTGGATTAGCTTGGCTATTGTCCATTTTCCTTTGCTCCTGGAGCTTGAGACATCCTTTTGTGCAGCTGATAGGCAGAATGACCCGTGGTAGAGGGTGGCTTAAACCCTTTGCTTCTCTCTGAGTGTTTGTTTCATAATTAAAAGCTGCAGACAGCTGGACTCCAGCTCTCTGTGCAGCCCCAGAGGTCTGTGACATCCAGTGCAGACTTTGTGGCCACTGGTTTTAGGGCAGCAAAAACAAAAATTAGACATCCATGAGTTTATAAAAGCTTATTAATCAAAGTTATTCACTCATTTCTGCTGTGATTCGAGGCCTGCTGAGTCGGTGTAACTTGCCCATGGTGTTTACTGAGTCCTGCACCAGGCTGTTGCATGCATTTTTGTACTGCTGGAGCAGAACTTTACAGAGCAGGCAGGGCAGGAGCAGAATATGGCTTTGATACCAGAAGAGATGTGGTCACAGGCTTGCAACCAGAGTGGTTAGTGTAAATTGATGTTTTGCCTGAAATGGTCTGTGGTGAAGGACTTGGCAGAATGATTTTGCTGCTCATTAAACTTTAATACCTCCTCGAGTAGATGTGACAGCTCACTGCCTTTTGCTTGAATTGTCTTTGACTTGTCCTGGAAGTGTCCAAGGCCAGGTGGGATGGGGCTTGGAGCACCCTGGGATAGTGGAAGGGGTCCCTGCCCATGGCAGGGGGTGGAACTGGAACACCTTTAATTTCCTTTGCATTCCAAACCAGTCTGCGATCCTAGGTTAAAGAAGAGTAAGGACAGACTTTTTGGTGGGCAAAATCTTTTGCTCTTGAAACTCCAGGATGTCACCTTCAGGTTTAAACCACACCCTGTCACTTCATTGTACATCTGCCAGGCAGCCTCTGCCTCAGCTTTTAGGTGCCATTTAACAGAGGAGCTCCTGTGCTCAGGCTATCTAGAAAGATTTTGCTGTCAGAACTGAGAAAGCCATTAAAAAATAACCACATGCATCTCCTTACCCTGAGCAGAAAGGGCTGTGCCAGGAGAATCCTCTATCAGAGACCAGCAGTGTTGCCTGAACATGGGAGAGCAGCTTTATAGTAAAGTTTGGTTTGGAGATTTGGCTTAAGCCAAAGACCTTTAACTAATCTAAACTGTCTCCAGTGAGGGAGTTTGAGTGTGGCCAAACTGCCTTTGCTGTTGAAGATATCAACAGGCAAACAGAGGGTGTGCCAAGTAAATAGAAAGAATAAACTGTGTAGGCTGAAGTAATTCTGAGAACACTGGCCTCGTCCCAGTGTAGCTGGAGGGACTTGAAGGACTTGCTGAGAACGAGGGAACCAGGAGCCCATCCCAGCAGAAAACCTTCATTAGGGAGAATATTTAACTCACAAAACAACTTTCTTGGGGAGTGGTGGGATTTCAGCCGCCAGCACTCAGACTCCTAGAACATTCCTCTGGAATGTGGTGGTCTGGAATGGTAGAATGCAGTGGTTGACAGCCAGAGCTCTTCCCTAATCCTGGGTTTATACTTGGAAGAAATATTTGTTTTTCAATGGTAGCATTTCAGAGAGCAGCCATCCTCCTTCAAACTGCACAGTGGCCTTTAAACCCCTCAAATAAATAAGTTTTCTTGCAGCCTGAGGTTAGCACCTCTCCCCAAGCCTGTGGCACAGTGGAGCGGTGATAGCGCCTTTGTGGGTGTTGCTGCTTGGCTTGAGCAGCTTCCTGTGGGGTGAGGTTAGCATGGAAATAATGCAGTTAGCTAATGCCTGTGAGTGTGATCTTCACGCTCAAAAACACTGTGAACACCTGGCATTCCCAGTCAGGGGTGTTTCAAGAAAAACAGACCTTTAGAAGAGGCAGAAAAACAAATGTACAGTACCAAAAATGTGTTGTGCAGCTGCATTATCCTCTCAGTTTTCCTTTAGAAATTGGGGGAAATTACCAGCGGCTGCAATATGCTGAGGCTGGGATTTTCCACTGTTCCCAGCTGTTCTAGTCTCATAGGATGCAAGGAGTCAACACTGCCTCATTCCCAGTGGAATAAATGGTGTTGGGATCTGGATTCATGTGCTCTGTCACATCGCTGCTGCTGTTGGAGAGAACTTCTTGGAGCTTGGAGGTTTCCAGCAGTTGATTGTAGCAAGGAGTGCACACACTGAGTGCCTCATTAGTTTTCTACCTCAAGGCACTGTTTTACTGGAGCTGCTGGTGGGGCTGATTTCTCCCATCTCACTGCCAGATCACCAAAACCATGCAGTGGGTTCTGGGAGTTGCTGGAAGGAGCAGACAGTGGTCAATACCATGGAAAAGGGGCATTTTTCACTGTAATCAGCAGCCTGAAGTTCATCTTCCTCATTACCATTCTTCATAGTGCTCCATCCATGTGTTTTGATGTTGAGCAGTTGAAGGAACATCCTTGGGAGGAATTGCAGCTGGAAATTCAGCTCCATGTCCCACATGGGCAGTCGGGGCATGCAGAGCTGACACTGGCTGACCTGGTATGTGGAGGACACCTCTGGTTCACTGCCTGTGGCAGGAGCTGTTGACAACATTTATCAGAGCTGCAGGACACATGGAAAACAGGGAAAAGGCCCCTCTTCCACTTGGGAAGATTTCTGCAGGAGGAAACAAGAGGTTCACCTTAACACCTTTTGTAAGTGGGTATCAGATGGGAAGGATGGGTATCATCCCTGAAGGATGGGATAGGCTTTCCCCAGTAGACACCAATGAAGGTTCCAGTGGCTTTGGAGGTTTATCTGAGATTTCAGAGGGAACCCTCACGTGTTCAATGTCAGGAAATGTCAAGACAGCCACTGCAGAGCCATGGTGAGGAAGTCTGGTGCTTGTTATGAGTCATACTTATCACGCAGTCTCTCTTTGTGGAAGCCACTGGTTTGCTGCACAGAAACTCTGTGCTATGGACTCACCTGCACAGAGATTTTCCATTTTTCTTGGCAGGTGAGGACCTGCCTGTTTTACATAGACATGAAATGAGTTTCTTGCTACTGTGGATGCCTGTGGTGGCCTGGCCTTTCAGCTGTGAACAGGGGAGGCTCTCTGTGAAGCCACAAAACCTTCAAAATTGTTCTCAAGTCTAACCAGTGGTCTTTTTCTTTCTGCTTAGCTCGAGGTGAAGGTGGTCACTACTGAGAGAGCAAAACATTTCTACAATGCCCAGGAGATTCCTGTGACCCTCTATGGTGATGAAGAGGAGTGGCAGGTGAGTTGTTCTTGCAAATAGAAGCATTCCTCTTCAGTTTTCTTGCAAGAAACTACAATTAGTTCTTTTTTAAACCTGAGCCAAGACTCACTCCTTGGTCTAGTAATATATATTTGGAATGTGGCTTTTGAAGAATGTGCTGTAAAGGAGGAGGAAGAGAGAGGCTGCCCTGATGCATTGCGGGATTTTGTCCTGCAGCAGGCAGGGAGGGTAGCAGTGGTCTCTCTCCACCTTAGGCTCAGCTGCTCTGAGAGGAGTGTCAGGAAATGTCAAGACAGCCGCTGCAGACCCATGGTGAGCAAGTTTGGTGCTTGTCATGAGTCATACTTGTGATGCAGGCAGCAGCTTCATTCCCCTTAGCTCAGCTGTCAGGGCTGTGAACATTTCTGCTCCCTGTGAAATGGCTTTTTCTCCTCACTGCAGTTTTACTGACACACATTGAGACTCCTTGAGTATGAAGAGGTTAATTGTACAAGCATCAAGATTTGTTTTTCCATACGTTTCATCCCTGCTTTGCAGTGCTGATCTGAGCACAAGGTGCTCTTTCCTTACCCCTATTCCTGCTCACACATGACCACCGCTTTTTAGTGGACAGAAACACGCCAGTGGTAACAGCTGGGAAACTTTCTGGATAGTCTCTGGAATTGGTGGATACCTACTGGATCCCAGGGTGTTACAGCCTCAGGCAGTTATTTCTGAGGAACCCTCAGTGGGGTGATAGAAGAGCTGCAGGTCAGGCTTTGAGGTCTGCTGGCACACTGGAGAGCAGGCACAGAGCCCTTGTGGTGAGAAATAATCACAGCAGGGTTTGGGTTGGAAGGGACCTCAAAGCTCCTCCAGTTCCACCCTCTGCCGTGGGCAGGGACACTTCCATTATCCCAGGTTGCTCCAAGCCCCATCCAGCCTTGCCTGGAACATTTCCAGGGATGGGGCAGCCACAGTTTCTCTGGGCAACCTGTGCCAGGGCCTCAGCCCCCTCACAGGGAACAATTTCTTCCACTGTCCCATCTCACCCTGTCCTCTGGCAGCTGGAAGCCATTTCCCCTTGTCCTGTTGCTCCAGCCCTTGTAAATAGCCTCCCTCCATCTTGCTGGCTCCTTCAGGCACTAGAAGGACACAATTAGGTCATCCCAAAGTCTTCTCTTCTCCAAGCTGAACACTGCCAATTCTCTCAGCCTTTCCTTATGGGAGAAGTGTTCCATCCTTCTGATCACCTTGATGGCCTCCTCTGGGCTCACTGTGACAGCCTGCTTAGCATGTCTTTATGACATCCTTCTCTCTGACAGTAAAATGACAAGAAAGAATAGAAAGGAGTGGAGGAGGTAGGAAAGGTATTCAGGAAGTTCCAGCTTTTCGGATGCTGCCTTTTTGTTGTGGCTTCCTATGACTCGGAGGAGGAGCAGTCTGTGGCCCTGACGCAGCCAGCCAGCCCATGCTGGCCTGTGGTTGGGTGTCCTCTGGGGAATAGGCACCTGATGCTGTTTGCTGCTTCTCAGGACTCTTTCCCAGGTAACTGAGCTCTTAAGACCAAGGTTCTCTTGAGCAATTCAGGGCTTTAAAGAAAACAGAAATAATCACTCAAGAATCAAGGAGAATTTGTGGGAGTGTTCAGGGGTTGGATGGGCCTTGGAGCAACCTGGTCAAGTGGAAGGTGTCCCTGTCCGTGGAACAAGGTGAGCTTTAAGGTCCCTCCCAACCCAAACCATTCTGTGATTCAAAGAGCTGAGAGAGGTGAGAAGTGCCAAACTGGATAAACCTCATCCATCATGGAGAAAGGCAACAGGACACTGTTCCCTGCAGTACTTAGGAGGATTCCCTTTGCTGTTTTGAGTGTGAGTAGGGTTGTGCATCCTAATTAAAAGTGACTTGGTCAGTTAGGGGTCTGTGCCTCGTGAGAAGCCAGTGGGCAGCTTCATTTCAGTGTGAAGCTTGTAAATCACATGGGTTCCTCAGGAAATGTACCCCTGGTTTGGGCCTGCCTGGCTCAGCTGGCTGAAGGACGGAGCTCTTAGGAATAATTACAAAGCTAAGGGATGCTGTGGATGGGGACAGCTCTTTGCTGTGAGTTGAAACCTTTGGTTATCAGTTGTGGGAATTGTCTTGTGGAGAAAGGATCCCCCCATCGGCTGATCCACTGCCATCCCTTAAATTCCATAACATTCCATAGGAATTCCATCAGGAATTGTGTTTCCTGGGGTGGGATTGATGAGGTGTGTGAGGGTTTGGTGCTGCCCACCTTGTCTCCCCCACAGCTGTGGAAGGGCCGCTCGGACCCCGTCCTGCACATTGAGCTCCGGCGCTGGGCTGACCTCATGGTGGTGGCACCTCTGGATGCCAACACGCTGGCAAAGGTTGCCAATGGCATCTGTGACAACCTGCTGGTGAGTACCCAGGCTCTGCCTGCCACTGCTGCCACCCCTCAGGACTGCCTGACCTTGCCTCTATGGAATTTCAGTGCTTCTGCAGCATCACCAACAGTGAGATTTGCACATTCTGCTCCCCCTTCACCTGCTTCTCTCTCTCTTCCTCAGCATGTTTCCTCTGCTCCTTCTCTTTCCTTCTCTGACCTAATCTGTTCCCACTCATCGGCTCTCTCAGTCTCTCGTCTCATTTCCCGGTCCCTGCTTTGTCTTCCCTGCTTTTTCTCGAGGGTGGTATTTCTTTCTGCCTTCATCCTCTCTCTCTGTCACTCATACACACAAACACACGCTCACTCCCTTTTGAGTTCCACTACGTTTTTTCAATGCAATCTGGAAAGACACCTGTCAGATCAGATAACACTGTTTACTTCCTGCTACTTCACCACCTCCCTCACCTAACATAGCACAGATTCTCAAACATGCTCATGCCCACCTACCTCCCAGCTTCAGCTACAGAGGATTTTGCTTGTTCAGGCTTGTTTCTTGGTATTTAAAGGGCTCTTGAGGCTCTTCAGCCTAATCAGAAACTGTATTAAAAGAGAGTGTGCTTCTTTGCTGGGTGCTGGGGGTCTTCAGCAGGGCTGAATGTTTTGTGGCCAGACATTAACCACACAAAAGATCTCGGGAAGCTGCAGAACTGCATGACCTACAGCATTTTGGGTGAGAAGTGCATATAAATGAACGAAATCCACCCAGAGCAGATCACTGGAGATCTAGAGAAGCCAGAAAGAGCTGTAGGAGTGACAGGCAATGTCTTGTCCTTCTGGTGTGCTGAGGGAAGAGCTCAGGATGGATGTCAGCGATGTGTGGCTTCGCAGGCTCCTGCCAATCTTTGAGAGCCTTGTAAAGGGAAGAGGCAGCTCCAGGAAGGGAAAGTGAGTGCTGGAGGTGCTGGTTGACAGTTCAGAACAGATTCCATCAGATTTCCTTGGACTGGGAAGGGTTCAAGTCACAAGGTATAAAAAAGGATGGATTGGGTTCCTGTAAGGACTCTGTGATCAGAGCTGCTCTCTTGGAAGCTCCTTTGTTTGAAATGCTGCAAAGGCCTGGGGGATCTGATGGACATTGCACTAAGAACAACCAGCATTTATCTCTCCAGGGGGATGAGGTGATCCTGGGTTATCTGGAAGTGCTGAGGACTCAGATTTGATTGTCTGTAGCACACAGGAGCTGCCAGATGCCTTGTAACCTGCCAGCATCTCCTGCAGCAGCCCCATATGTGCTTGTATTCTCCTCTGTTGCATCCTGGAAGCAGCACTGCTTCCCTTGCAAGGAGTTATGGATCCAGCTGGCATTTCATGTCAGAAAGACTCACTGCCAACTTTCAATGTTCAGCTTTGTTATCTGAAGTGTTGCCTCGGGGGTTTCTTTGTAGCCAGTATGATCTATGGCCACCTCTCAGCTTCTCTGTCTTCCACAGTCTGTACACATCCTCTTCCAACTTGGTTTACTCCAGCCTGGGCTGCTGGCTGGAGCAGGGTGGGATTTATCCTCTGGGTAGCCTCCCTCATCTTTCCTGCCTGTCAGAGATGAGCTTGGCTGGAATGTGCTACAAATTAGTCTCAGCCCATGGGTTAGTCCAGCTGCACTGACAAAACAACAGGCAGGCTGGAAAGGTGCAGCACAGGGATGGGAAGGAGTGAGGAAATCCAAGCCCTGCCATGGCTTCTCCTGCAGACTTGTGTCATCCGCGCGTGGGACCTGAGCAAACCCCTGCTCTTCTGCCCTGCCATGAACACGGCCATGTGGGAGCATCCCATCACAGCTCGCCAGGTGGAGCAGCTGAAGGGCTTCGGCTACACAGAGATCCCCTGTGTGGTGAAGAAACTCGTGTGTGGAGATGAAGGTCAGTCCTTTGCTGTGGCTCCTGCCCTTTTCCCTCCCTCATCCTGGAGGGATGTGCTGCCTTTTTCTGTGTGGCCACGGAGATTTTGAACTGCCACAGTTTGTACAAACAAGCTGAAGCTTTGCCTGGTGTTATCTCTTGTCATTAATTTTTAAGTAGTCTTAAGAGCTTCCAGCTGAGCCTGATATTGAAGAGAAATGCACATTTAGGAAGAGAGGAGATCAAAGAGAAGGAAGGTTCTGTGGCGAGGACACCCAGCCTGGGTGTCCTGACTTTGCCCTCTGCTGGGTCTGGGGGCTGTTTTCATTGTGCCTCAGTTCCATCATTGGCATTAAATCTTGTTCCTAAGTGCAGACAGTGAGAAAAGCCCTTTGCAGATGTGGCTGGGGATGTAGCTGGACACACATTTAACGTTTGTTGTTGTTGTTGCCTGGGTTACTTTGTAGCTTCCCAAACCAGCTTTGATTTGGGGTTTTGACACCAGAGTTCAATGAAGTAAAAGAGGGGTGTGGAGGAAGTGCAGACTCAATACATTCAGCTTGCAGTGCTAAAAAATAATGGTCTCATTTGAGTTTTAGTAGCTGCTTTCAATTGAGGTATTTTGACTTTTGGGAAGGGTTTTGTTACAAACCATTTGGATAAATGGATTTGCTTTTTTATTAAAATTTAATTGGTCAAATCTATATAAAACGTCCCCCAGTTCCAGTCACAGCCTGCACAGTACAATGCACTTACTTCTGTGTATCAGCCCTGGCTCCATCAGGATTTTAGCCACCCTGTCAGTCTAATAAACAGTCTGTGATATAGACAGGATGTTAAAATGTCCCTTGTGGTTAAGTTCCAGGCCTGGCTTAGTTTTGGAATCCTTAGGTAGGTGCAATAATTCCATGGTTTTGTACTTTCAGAACTGAAGCCTAAGAAATATTTACAGTTAGGTAAGTGTAGTCAAGTAACTCAGACGCCAGTTGAAATATCCTGGATGATTAGCCTTCCACTGGGATTTTACACATGATTACATCAAATTTCTTCATATCCAGCTCAGCTGTCTTAGTTGTGAGAGCAAACTCCTTCAGGAGCTTGGAGGAGAGGGATGCAGGGATGGCAGGAGCAGCCTCATCTGACTGTACTCCACTTGTGCTCATGAGTCAATTCCCACCGAGATCTTCCTGATGGCAAACAGCAGCACTTTTCCTGGCAGCCTGTAGGGAGATTATGGCAGGGCACTAACAGATTCTATCTCTTTGAAGACCAAACTAGTCTCCACAACTGACTTTTTTTCACCTCTTCCCCTTTTCTCAGGCCTTTTTCACCCCATGGCCTCTTCCACACTCATTTTGGTTTTGTGGCTTCCATCCACTCAGGGGTTTCCCTGGTTTCCACACAAGCGGCACATAGCAAAGCTCACACGTGGTGCAGGAGAGACTCAGTTTGCACCAGTTTGGTTTGGTGATGTTGTGGTTTGTTTTACTCTAGGAGGTTTCTCTTCCTCACCCCGTGTGGTTGGGTCTCACCTGAAATGCACCAGATCCTCACTGTGCCCAAGTTTTACCTGAAGAATTTTTCTCCCTTAGTAAAGAGGGGTTTTAATCAGAAAGTCCAGCTAAAAGAGTTAGAATACCAAACTGAGTTTCTTAACTTGATAGTTTACACACTGCCATTATCTTCTTTGTCTTGATTTCTAGAGCCTGGCATACTGGCAGATTTCCACCTGTAGGCATGTGCTGTGCTGTTGCTTTGCTAAATCTAAAAATCCAGCACTGAATTGCCAGAGGTGTTGGAGTAGTAGGTGGTGGAGGAAGAAGGCAGGCCTTGGAAGTGTTCTGGAAGGGTGTAGCTCTGCCAAACCATGCAGAGGGAGTGTCTCTTGTCAGGTGCAGCTCTTCTCCCTGAGCTTAGGAGAGCAGAAAGGTCCAAATCTGCCTGCAACTTGTCCACAGGATGCTCCAGACCTCTTGGGGTTTACAGGTCTGAAAAAGAAGAAAATTACATTTCCCAGAACTAATTTCTGCTTAGTAGTAAGTTATGAGATTAATTAGCCAGCAGGACAAAATACCAAGAGAGACTCTTTTTCAGTCTTCTGAAAGAGACAAATACCTGTGGGAGAAGCATCTTTCCTCAGCTCCAGGCAAATTAGAAGAGTGAATGGCCTCAGTTCCCAGTGCTGAGTTGAGCACACAAGAGTAGACGAGGTGATTTAATAATCTCAGACTTTAAAATTCTGAATCTGAGTTAAAAACTGCTTCAAAGGAAAGCAGCAGCACAACATACATTAGTTGTTCATCTCGCAGATAACCAGGCCCAAAGTAAAAGCCTTTCCATTTTGTTCTGTCCAGCACCCAGCCTTCTCCAAGAGTTGCTCCCAGGATTCAGGCTGGTGGGAATCCACAACACCTTTCTCTAATGGAAGTCCTGTCTCTCAGGGAGAGTCATGGGAATGGTATGGATTTGTCAAGTCTTTTGTATTGACAAAGACTATTTCAGAAAAATACTGAAAATACACAATTTTGAATTGAAATACACCCTGGAGAAGGAGGTGAGATTGGGAATTTTGCTCCACACACTTTCTTTAGGATGCCCCCACCCTGGATTTCACCATGTGGTTTTGCTCTTGCCCTGCAGGCCGAGGTGCCATGGCAGAAGTGTGGACCATCGTGGAAAGAGTTAAAAGGATCCTTGAAGAACGGGACGTGCCAAGGCAGAGCTGATGTTTTGGCATGTAAATGGTGGTTTTGTGCCTTCCTGATGGTTTGGAGATAAACCCAGCAGGAGGCTGGGCTCAGCTGCCCTGGTACCCATGGCATGCATACCTTTAGCTGCTCTTCAACAGAAAGAGCCAAAGCCAACGGTTGTGTTCCAGCTGGTGCAAAACTGAAATGTGGTACCTCACCACAGACTTTCAAAACCAGAGCCAAGATTGTGCTGCTTTAGTGTGGAAAACTCTGTGGTATTTTGGGAGTAACTGTTCCAGAGGCTGCTCAGCCCCCAGTGCTTCACACCTGCTCTGTTCTGGTCAGGCTGCAGAAGGTGTTTCTCGAGAGGAAAAGGCCCTGCAAATTCTGGTGTAGGGTAATTGCAGCAACTTCTAGCAAGTGTCTCCTGGACCATTCCTGCTCTCCAAATCTTGGTCCATACTGGTGCTGGCTGCATGTTCCTCCCAGCAGGAGTCACTGTCCAAAAAGATTTTCCCTCTGGGAACTTAATAAAAAAGAGTTATTAATCCTGCCCCTGATGAGTTGCCTCTTGTAACTGCTTTGGGAGGTGTTCCAAGCCAGTATCTTTGCTAAAGTTGTGGTGGAGAAAAATTGACTGAAAGGAGCTCTCCAGTCCTTTTGCCCTTTAATAGCTGTAGTCTGGAGAGAGATGCAGGTATCATCCTCATTCCAAGGTGTCTGCTGCCCATCTGGGTGCCCCAGTCAGGAAACAAGCAGGCCAGGCCCTCATGGAATGCCAAGGCTGTGTGTTTCCCATATGAATGAAGTGAAACTTCACTTTTGATGACCTTTTAAGCTTGAAAATTAACTGCCTGGCAGGAATAAATTGGGAAATCCTGTGCCCTTGTGGGCCAGACCAGGCAGGGCTTCCCCAGTCCAGCCTTTCCTTGGGAACACGTTCTTGCTCCTGAGGGAATGGGAACTGTGGAACATACTGCTCTAGCAGAGCACAGCTGACCTACAGCATTCATTTTTGGCTAAACTCAAACAAATGTGAAGCCTTCGGTACAGCATGTGCATGCTGCCTGTGGGGGAAACCTCCAGCCTGCTGTGCATGAGGGAAGAGGTCACTAGGTTAGGTTTGTTTAACTTACTCATTCCACACAAATGAAACCTGTGAACCTTCCCTGTTTTGGCTCTTCCACTGACAGAAATCCAAGGAGTCACAATTTCTGAGAAGGATCCTGGTGTGAGCAGAGCATGTGGCTCCTACAGAGGGCTGTAGTGGTGTTGTTGTGATTTCTGCATTTTGCCAGGATTTATGGAGTGACCTGCATCACTTGCTCGTGTTCCCAGCTCCCAGCCTCTCAGAGGACCTTCCCTTAAGCTCACTGACAGTAGCAGAGATGTTTCTGGCTTCCATGAGTTTTGATGTGAATGGTGTTTTTTCTGCTCACAGGACAATGTGTGTTTTGGCCGTACAACTGGCACTTGTCCTTGGGGTTCTGTCGTGGCTATCTCCTGTGCCTGGAGTTGTTTATCCCTCCTCCAGCTCCCTGACTTGGCAGCACAGAAAACCCAACAGAGATTCCTCTATCCCAGGACAAAACACCACATTCCTGATAAGAGCCTTTCTCTCTTCCAAGCCTGCTTTGCTGCCTTGAGCTGCTCCAGAAATGTTGGCAACTGATCTTCTGCACAGTTGCTGTGATCTTTTCATTGGAAGCAGGTTGTGATAGCTTTCCAGGCTGGGATAAACCTGTGCCCAAACCACCTTTCCTTCAGCGCAAATAGAAGAAACAGTTAAGCTCCTTCTGGGAGGCAGGAGTAGCTTCCAGCTTGGCACAGGTACAGGTCCCCACACGTGGCCACAGCCAGGGAGGTGTGGAGCCCGTGAGCAGGAGCTGCACTTTGTAGAAAAGGAGCAGGAATAGAGCTGGGGAAAGCCCTGTTTGCTCGAGGAGGCAACTTTGGGACAGTGCTTTTCTAGGATGAGGCTTGGGGTGGTCAAACTAGGGCTCTGTGCCAGCTTGGGGAATAGGCACTACCAGGCTCTCCTTTAGTCAGTGTGTTCACCAAGAGGTGTTGAGGGATGGATCCCTCAGGGCATTCAGGCTTCCAGCTCTGTGCATGACCCAGGTTCACAGCAGGCCCGAGACACTTTCCATGAGCTTTTTCTTTTCCTTCAACTCTTCTTTTTGAGCCACATGCTGATTTTTTGTTTCACTTTCCCATGAAGCTCTCGGATCACCGAGGCAGCATTCCCATGAATTCCTGCTGTGTTGCAATTTCATTCATCCTGTTTGAAACTGTTTCTCTCAGCATGGCTTGAGAGTGATAAAGAGCCCCGACAAAAGCTGAGTGAAGGCAGCAGCCCACCTCCTTTCCTGGGCTTGCACGTGCCTTTCAGCACCCCTGGCTCTGGCTGCTTCCCCCCCATCCCAAACTTGATGGGATCCTTTTGCTGCTAAGATTTTGGGAGCACTGGAGGAGGATAGAGATGCCGTGGTGCTGTTTTGTTCTGGCTTTGATCAGGAGTTGGCTTCCCAGCCTGACCTGAGATGGGAATTGCATCATCTCATGTGCCTGTCCCATCTCCCATTCCTCCATTTTGGGAGCCTACAGCAGGAAAAGAACATTTGAAAGAAGTGACAAAACCTCTGTGTATTTAGACTTTGAGCAGTGGTGTCTCCGTGGTGCACCTGGTGCAGAAGCTTTGCACCCCGGGGCTCCGGATTTGGCACCCGCCCACCCGGGCGCGGGGATGCCACCCACTCCAGATCCCCAAAGCACGTGAGGTGGCAGGAAGTGGGTTTGTCACCAACCACAGCCCAGCCAGGCACTGGGGGAGGTCACGGGTTGTCTCAGGGTGACAGATCAGTGGTGGCAAGTGAGAACGGGAGGTGTTGGTAGGTTTTTTCCTTTCCTTGCTCTGGTAGGGTTCAAAACACCACCATGAGAAACAAAACTTCCTCCTGTAAGATTTCAGTGACAGTGGGAAAGGGAGATGATCCAAAGTGATAATGGTGGTTCCAACCTCTGCCCTCATGTTTTGCTTTCCATGTGCTGAACTTTTTTGGCCAGCCAGCCCTCCTGAATTGGGAGACGCTGGGAAGCAGCTGCATGACCCTGACTGGTGGTAAGGTGGTTGCCAAAAGACCCAGCAGGGCTGGGCACAGACTCCTTGGCACCAGCAACACAGCTAGCTTAACTTCGGTGGGGCAACCTCCCAATTAAAACTTGCAGGTGCAGGGTTCTCCCCCTGGCCACCTGCCTCCGTGGGTGCTTGAAAAATTATTTCCAGGAGTAATTGAGCATAATTAGAGTTTGAAATCCCTGGAGCTGGGATGCTCAGAGATGCACAGGGGACTGAAATAATCTGATGGGGCAGTTCCCTGCTAGGTCTCACCCTGAGGTTTTATTAATGGGATCTCATGTTGTCCTTTACATGGAGATGGAGTTTTTTCTCTGGGAATGCTGGCTTTGGTGTTGTACCTCACTCTTCTGATTCCAGAGAAAACAGAAAAAAGGGGATGGAATGACCAAAAAGCCTTTGTGCTGTCCAGTGAGATGAGGAATAAAGGTCACTTAGTCATCACAGTAAAGATAAAATTAATATACTCTTGACCACAGGCTCCTGGGATCCTAAAGGGAAACAAACTCTGGATGGAGACTCCTAAAATGAGGTTCAAAATCAGGCTCTAGCAAGTGTGATCACAAAGACCCCTCAATCTGAAATCAGGAAGTGCCTGGGTGCCCCCAAACCCCTGTCCCATGGCATTCAGCCCCTGGCAGGTCATCATTGGCCACTGTGACCTGTGAGGGGAGAGCACCCCGGTGACCCTTTGTCCCCCTGGTCCCACCAGAGTATCCAGAAAATCCCTCCCCCATCCTTCTTCAGCAACGGGTGAGCGTGCCAGGAGAGGCAGTGCCAAAACAAGCTGGGGGAGGGCCAGCACAGCAATAAAAGCTTTATAAAAGGGATTTATTCCTCCATGGCTCCTTGGATGGCTGGAAGAGCCTTTCCCCAGGAGAACTGTACCTCCAAGAGCAGCCTGTGCCCCCAGGCCTGGCTCTGCTCTGTCTCGCTTGATTTCCAATGGGTGCCTGGGTGGTTTATAGTTTTGGAGAAATATGATTCATGAACTCCAGTGTGATAAGAATGAGGGAGGAAAGAAAAGCCACGTCAACCTGAAGGAATGTGGCTGGTAGAGAGCCCAGCCTGCAGCTGGCAAAAGCCCTGGGAGAGAAGATCAGGCGTAAAAAGGGACAAGATGAGAACCTGTGCCTGAAAAAGTAGCTGAAAGCCTCCCACCCCTGCTTCAGGGTCTCTTGTCCCCCAAATACACTGCAGCTCTGAGGCCATGGGATGGCTCCAGATAAACTCCACGGATGTGGGTCAGCCAAACTTCCTAACTGGATATAATTGATGGCCCAAGCTGTTGTGTTTCCACAGGACTGACTGTGCTGCCCGGGCTCCAGACCACTGCTCTGCTTCCCTGAGGATCAGGACCCAGCATGGGGTCTGGGAGCCATGCCAGCCATCCCAAAGCAAGTTCCTGTGTGAGTGGCAGGCAAGGGAAGCATTGTCCCTTTGTCCCCCTGCTCTGCTGGGCAGCACCGTGTGCCTGCTAGGCAACATGGCTTGGGCAGCTGATGCCATGCCCAGATTTCCTTCACCAGTGGGAATGAGGGTGGCAGGGAAAGCCCTGATCTGGTTCTCGGTGCCTCCTGTGCAAACACACCATGTTTGCCATCCTGGCAAACACAACCCCTTTATAAAGGCAGCAAAATCTGGCTGTGATGAGAGAACACGGCCATTATCAGAAAGAATTCCAGCTCTGGGATGTGCCAAGGCACACACAGGCAGACCTCTGCCCCTTGTTCCCATCCAGAATATCCTTCCTGAGGGCGGGGAGCTCCTGCTCTTGCAGCATCCCCAGGGAGTCTGTATCCTGCATGCCCTCGGGGTGAGTCTGCTCTGAGATGTTCTGGGTGGATGTTATTTACAGCAGCATTTTTCATTGATAGGAAATCGCTCTTGGTGCCGGTAAAAAGCTGCTGGGGTGCGGGCAGGGTGCAGCTGGAGCACCCAAATGCCTGCAGCCCGTGAAGCACGCCAGTTGCCTCAGCACAAAGTCAATATTGACCTCCGTCAGCGCTTGCACGCAGCGCCACTCCCGCTGCGAAGCAGAACAAAGCCCAGCGCGTCCCTCCAGCACCGCCTCTCTGTGCCGGCTCTTTAAAAATAATCATCATTAAATTGTTCGGTCTGCTGGGGCTTTCTTGGAGGTCAAATAGCCGGGGAAAGTCATGGAGAAAGAGAGCTCCAGCTGCTCTGCTTTCTTCTCCTTACCCTTCTCTCCCTCCCCTGACCCAGCACCCATCCTCTCCCAGAGCACCCATCCAGGCTGGATCACTGCAGGGAAGGGACATCGCTTCACATCCCCGTCACATCCCCAGCTCCTCGGAGGGCACGGTCGTGCCACAGCCGGGACATGGGAACTGGCAGCGCCCCAGGGACATAAAAGCTGAAGTGCTTGGAAGGCTTGGCCTCCGTAGGGGGAGGGTGATGGGG